TGCTGCAGTCTGTTCATTTTTGTTTATATGACAGTGCATTGTGTGCTTTATGTTACAGCAGAAAAAAAAATCACATAAAAAAAACCTTTACCGTATAAAATAACTATTGAAAAGCATTGCCGGTGAACCACTATAAACAGGAATTTTTGCATCACTAAAACCAAAAGAATCACACCTAGCCCACTTAAGGCCATCTTCTCTTTAAAATTACCACGATCATTTCAAGAGCTTCGGAGATCTTATTAGCCTAATTGATTAGGGCTAACATCCTCATAACCAAAGTGTGAAGAGGCCAGCTCCGGGCAGACTGGGTCTTTCCAGCTGAGTAGAGCAATAGTGCTTGAAGCAGTGGGACGCTGGAGCACCATCCATCTTCAATGTTTCTAACCCTTAAGCAAAGCAGGGAAACCGCACTGCAGTGTTGCCCACTTAGAAATCAGAGGCTTGTAAAATTCCCACATTTCATTTCAGGCAGGCAGAGTTTCAGTTGAAACACTCAGCTTTACATTAAAGTAGAACCCCCAGGCTTTTCTGCATCTCGTAAATGGTGATTTTAATTATCCAATTAACATTTACTTTTTAACAATACATCATGATTTCTGGCATTAACAGCAGCTATGTAACTCTGCTTTCTCTGACAGCTCTGCCTAATCTGCTTATTGAACTTTATTTTAAAGGCTTGATTCCATACTTGCCTCTGAGCATGTGTAGTCATTGACACCAGCGCTAAGTGGGTGTAAGGCTCTCCCACGCCAGAATGATAGCATTTTACACCCACGTTACCCAGATGTATATCACTGCAAAGCAGCAGAGAATAAGAATTTTATGTTTTGGAACAATATTAGTAGACTTTTGAGCTGACTGTAACAGGAAACTATTACAACAATCTCGTACACAATTAGCAGTGGAACATTCAGGTTTGTGCTGATTTAGCAGAAGGCAACAATTTGTTTGTTGTTCGTTGCTTATCCTGCTAACTAGAATAAATAATTTGCTCGTCCATTTCAGTTCCTGCCTAGTGATCCTAAAGCATAACACTAACATTCTTCATCTGTCTTACAACACGGACCAGGTATAGTGAGACTATACATATATGTGAGCTAGCATTAAAGGAAGGGCAGAACTAGCAGTGCAAATACAGCAGCACCAAAGGCAAAATCTGCTCAGAATTAGACCTTCAGAATGATAGAACCAAGACTGCTTTGCTCCTATTGCAGGAATGTGCTTTTATTACCAGAAGACAAGCTCCCATTGAAGCTCGCACCAGGCAACATTTGCTATAGGATAGCTATTACCTGCAGTGATATTGCTATTCTTTTACACACACACTCACACGCACGCACTGGCTTGTATGAACAACAGGCAGTTGCGTTGGGCTCTTCAGCTGTATTTCAGTGTCACTTGGCTACAGGGAAAGCAACTGCAGGTTTTGCATGCAGTGGCCCATGTGGCCCCTTTGGATCTGCTTTCAGAATTTGCAAGTAATCTTTCACTGGCAAGATAAAACATTCAAGTGACATGTTTGTGCTAGCCAAGGAAAGGAAACACAAAGCAGGACATTTAATAAGTCTTGACATGAAGCTTTGTCATTCAGGTAGTCACACAGGTAATTCTGTACTTCTTCTCCCCTCAAGTTTGATCCTCTGTTGTTCTTTTAATGTTATTTTTGCAAGATGTCTCAGTACTGCTGCAATTGCAGGTTCCCACAGTCCTTGAAGCGCATTATCCTTCACCACTGGTGAAAGAAAGAAACAACCCAGGAACTAAATATATACTGATTTTCAAGGAGGCAGCTATTTGTAGTGATGTTTCCATGCATCTCCATCTCCCTTGCAGTGCTTGCATAACCACCCCCTCCAAGCTCTGCCCATTGTAAGTACAGCTGAACAGTAATATTAGGTCCATTTGAAGTAACATAGAAAGCTAACTTTATCCAAAGAGCTGTGCTTTTTTGTTTCACTCTATACAGACCAATACACAGCTTTAACTTTTGCCAAATTAAAAGCAAACCCTCTGAGATTTATGTAGCGTGCTTATGTCCATGTCCTGATAGAGCACCAAATGGTGGAGAGCGGAGCCTTGGAGAGGCTGCTCCAATTTGAAAATATGTATTAGAGCAGTTTTCTGCAGACAGAAAACATTTTGGTCTCTGATTAGGGCTGGGAGAAAGTTGTTGCGAGAGTATTTCACTTCTCTTTTCTATGATTATGTAATATTTGCAGGTATACAAGAGAATTGTTCTTGCTAGTTAGAGACAAAATGTTAATTGCTGCTATTCTTCATAAGCTTCATGAGAAATCCAGGATAGGACGCCAGTCAGCAGATGTCCAAATGGTTGGGTCATTTCCCAAACAGGCAAGAGAACTTTTTTTTTTTCCTATCAAATGACCAGGGAACTATATCGATTTTGATAGAAAAAGCGCGTCAAAAGTATTAATGTGAGCATGGCAATGTATGACAGCTAGATTAAGAGTTTCAAAGTGTCCATTCAGTTTCACAGTGAACACTCCATTAAAATAGTTTGAACCTTTTATTAAATAATAGGAAAAAATGGAAAAAAATAAAGCATTTTAATTCAAACAGTAAACACAATTTTCATTTTCCATTCCTTTAGCTACATAGGAAAAGCCCCTGCTAGTCTGTGTTAAAGAGAGTAATAACTGTCCATTTGGGGCAAAAAGAAAGTTAGTTGAAAGCAGCAGGATCTGGCAACCGTTTACAATATCCAGCACTACTTCTTTAAAACAAGATACAGAAGGGGAGAAAAGAACAGAAAACAGAAAAAAAAATTACTTCTCTTTCGGTGCTGACTTTTACTTTCAACTCACTTGCACCTGGAAAACGGCAGACCCAGCACGTGGTCTTATCAACCACTCCAAAACCTGGCAAACTTCTAGCTGCCTCCGATGATTAAAAGGCTGCTTTTAGCTGCCCTTTTAGTCATGGGTTCACAGCAGTGAAAGAAGACATGCCACAGTCTTTAATCAGCTAAGTCACACCTCTTAGGAAAAAGCAGACACACAGAGGTCAGAAAAAGACCTGTAAGAGGAGGGTAGGAAAGAAAATGGACACATGAGATAGGAGGTGATGGTGAGACCCAGTTCATGTTTATTATATATCATGGATTTAGCTTAACTCAGGAGGCTGATGGCACCCTTCCCTCTGTCCTCAGTTGAGCCTATATCAGGAGCCTAACAGGATATCTGTTAGGATCAGGTGCTGAAGCTCCTGTCTCATCTGTGCCTTCCCTTACTTTCAACATTTGTAAGCCCAAAGGATCAGTGAAAGGGGAAAAGACAGTGGATTTACTCACCATGTTTAATTATTTTAGAAAGAGCAAACAGTCAGTCATATATTTCGATAAGTTTTCACACAATGCAGTATTTTACGTATTCTGCTCCTTCATTATTAAATAGAAAAAAAAAGTCAGTCTCGCACTGCTTAAGTACTCAAACAAAGTGGAAGCAAATAGATCATTGGAATTGGACTAGAGGAAAAATTTCAGCACAAGCAAAGATAAGCATGTCATTTCCTTGAACCTCACAACAATCAATTACTGTATTTTTCAGAGAAGTAGAAAAAGTCTATTTTTCTCAGCTTCCTTAGGTTATCAGATTTGCCCTGTGGTGTACAAAAGACACTAGTTTAAAGTCCAATTGGATTCATCCTTGCTTGGTTTTGATCCCACAGAATCTAGGCATAGTAAAGATTAGACCTAGAGGTATAAAGATTACCAGTTAACACAGTGTTACTGACAGTTGTACTTTGCTTTTGTTCAGATTAATTTGTATCCATCAACTACCCTACTACTTCACAACATAGAAAGTAACTGTGTGTCTTGGACATTTTTTAAACTGGTCATCAAGCAACAACGATTTTGCTTTATTAATTTCTTACTATTAATTCTTACTATGCTAAATGCTTTTTCTCTTTAAGCATACATAATTCAAAATATTAATGCTGAAGATTTTGCAAAATACATATTAGAATTTTGTTTTCACACAAAGGGCCTGCTCCTACATCTCATTCTTCTGGATGACACTGTTACGATAAGGTTGCACAAATACAACTTCTGTAGAAAGAGAAATCCAAACATTTATAGACAGTAAGCTTCTGCTTCATATGCAACTGACAAAATATAAGGGGATAATTCACATGAACCTGCCATTGCCCAGCACAGGTAGCTTCACTGAGCTTGTGGCTAGAGTAGACAAGTCATTTTCATTTAAAACATATAAATAAGTGAGCCCCATCTTTTTGACTATAGCATGAACACAAACCAAATGCTCCCAGAAAAGCCCTTTCCTACAATAGCAAGTAAAGTACTTCCAAAGTAGATTTCTCAGGGAGACTGTGCTTTGTGACATTAACAGGAAAATACACCTCTTTATGTGCTTGCTGCCCTTCTTCTAAAATGAAACAAAACCCAGTGCGTGTCCAGGAAAAGACAAGCAAGGCAAAGAACAAAAAGACAGGGCAACAGCTCCCTGCAGGGATGGAGCAGCAGGACACATTTGCTAGATGAAGCAAGGTGCTTTGTGGGGAAATAAAGTGTACAGGCCTGCTCTGAGTCACCTGGAAGCTGTAACAGGCAGCAGCACCACATCCGCAAAGGCTGTGCCTCCTGGGGAGCGTAGCTGGCAGCAAGGAATGATAGAAAGGGCGCTTTCACTAACATCCTGTTCACAGAGAAATACCAAGTGACAAGGAAGGTGATACTGACCCTGGGTACTCTATATTGTTGGGATTTGTTTTTGCATACAGTTCCAACTACTATAGCATGCTCAAACTGCAAAATTACATTACAGGTCATTAATTACATGTCCAGGGTAAGTTGGAAGGATATAGATACACAGGACTGTAATAGAGCCGTGTGACTGAACACAGCCCCTGCCACAGAGGCAATAGTCAGTACAGGAGCATCTACAAGAACACTGTTCCATGGTATATACTTAAGCACACTAGAACGAACGACTTTCAATACTAGACGAAAATTTTTGACACTTTTTGCATTGTGACACAGGAGGAGAGCTAAGAGACCTAAAGGGACATCAGCAATGCATTACCCTATTGAAAAATACAGGGAATGTGTTAGTGAAAATGCTCACAAGACTGAAGGAAGTGAGCCATACCTCACACTTTCACGAAAGGAAAAAGTAAAAATTCAAGTCTCTTTTATCAGTTAGGCCTTGGGGAAAGGGGGAGGGGAGGAGAGTGGAGGTGAAAGAGATTTCTTCTCTAATCTAAAATCTGTTGTTTCAGTTTGATCCTGAGCACACACAGAAAACACACTGGTCAAACCACTGATGTTTCTTGATAACACCATTCATAGCAATTCACTTTGGCTATGCTCCTATCTCTCGTTTATGTAAAAAAAAAAAAAAAAAAAAGTTTAGAGGAAGGAAATTCTAGAATTAAAGGCTGGGGGGAGCAGGAGACATATAGGAAGGAGCCATCAGCACAACACTCAGCAGCATACACCAGGAAAGTACCAGTCCCTAGGCTTGTACTGCACTACCTGCATTTCCAGCAAGGAGTTCCATTCCATAGGATCAAGATAGGGCACATGCCTACACTGTTAGGGCATAACTGATATAGTAAAGGCCTCCTGAGATATCCTGGTGAGATATATGCTCCATATCATAGGAAAGCAACACCTTCTACCATTATTATTACATCTGGAGCAAACTGCTTATCTTGGCCAACAAACTAGCATCTTTCCTATTTATTATGTCCTCAATTTTCCTTCCTTAGAGCGTAGAGAGACTATCACACTTTCTATTATACTGTCTTGCATAAGAAAACCACATGAAGTAGAGGTCTGTGGTCCATGGGGTTGCTCAGCAGTTTGCCCTGAGAGTTATGATTTGCCGTTCAACTTACAGTTTCTGCTCACACTACTAGCACTTCATGAGTAGGCACAAGGAACCTGAGCTCATGCCTTGCCATGATGTAGTTTTTCTCATCACCACTGAAACTATGTTTCATTTGTTTTGCCCTAAAAAGCAACTAAAAATTGTTCTGATTATAAAATGCATTGATTGTTGTTGGTGTCTGGAAAACATAACCAAGGGCCTAGTGTAAGTCTAATAAGCTTAGACTATATGAGGAGAATCTAGTGAAATACAACAGACACTTATTGAAGGTTCCAGTGTATCCATAGGCTGGAGTACCAACAGGAAATACTTTTGATGTCAGCTGTCGCTTTCTCATTCCTCAGTTTGCCAGAGGGGAAAAAATGCCTCGTAACAACAAAGTCATTATAAGAAACTACATATGAGAAACCATTAAAAGAAAACACGTCACACTTGCACCTTGCGCATCTGTTCTTACACACTCGTGCCCAATGAAAGCAACGTATCAGTATTCTCACGTGATAGTATTTGGTAACAGCAGGCACAGGAGTAAACTCTTTGACTTTGTGTTTTATAGCATCTAATGCACCCAGGCCTGATCCTAAGAGAACACTGTCCTCTGGAAGAGTTCATTCAAATACTTCAGCATTGCCATGCAAGTTCTGAGCAATCTCTTCTGTTCTACATAGGATTTCTCCTCATCACTATATAATCCAAGCACCTCAGAGACGAGCAATAAGCTCATGACTAACATCTGTCACTCAGTTCATTTGAGACTTAGCTCTCCTCCTCTCTCCACAGGAAGAATGGTGCACGCAGTTCTGAATGGGTTTGACGTTTTTAAAATACAAGCATTGAATTAAGGGAGTGAGCGTGCCATACACTTGGAGTGAGAAACTATTACTGTTGTGTCAGCCCCTGGCTACTGAAAACTTCATTTCAGAGGATCAGACATAAGCCCCAAACATGAAAGCATTTGGAAACAAGGCTAATATGATATCCTAGGGAAAACCACTGCACAGAGCAAAACATTTATGTGAGCTAGGTAAGTAGTAACTCCATCTGATCAAAGATTAGATTTGAAAAAACAGTTTAACATCGGAGTCGGGGTTCTATAATGCTTAACAGCCAAGCAAGGAGGAAGTTCCTTGCCCCAACAAACTCAAGCTCTAAGAGTTTAAATCATAAAAAGCACAGGTGGAGCTTGATACTCAAGTAGTCCTTGAAACAAAGACTTCTTACAATAGGAAAGCATGATACAGTGCATTGTTTGACGTGCTGGGTCCCATGCTACGTATCAAAAAAAAGATGAATAGCAGGGCTACAGAGACACCAAACAATAGGAGAAACAAAATTGCATTAAAGAGGGTTAGACAATACCAATAAACAAGAAAATTCACAGAAGCTGAAATCTGATCATAATTTGCTTGTGGAATGAGCTTCATTGTAAAGATGGCTACTGCTTTTGTGTCTCACAATAAAGACCACTGCACTCTTCATGTTGGCTTCCGCTCAGCGAATACTTTTTGTTTCTTTCCTACTCAGCCATGAGAAACCCACCCTTCAGATGAACTTTAAGATGTTTGAGCTTACGTAGCCCACTCACAGGTCAAAAACTACAGCTGAAAAGTAACTTAGAGCTGTGCTCTGGCCCTTTCCTAGAGAGAGCCCTGGCTAGATATAGAGCTATACCATTTCCTCCAGGTGTCCAGAAGATGTGTATATTTTGTTTGCCTCCTTCTTGATAGTAGTCTTCAGATACTCACGCATGTATTTGGAGGTAGCGGTAAACATAAAACTTGAGGTAAAATCGCCACATCTACTGTGCAAACTGATGGCAAGTTTCCTCCTTGATCTGGGTCTGTTGGCTTTTCTTTCCCCTTCTCCGTTACATAAAACGGCCTTATAGGTTTGATTCTCTTTAGTTGTCAGTTATAGTGGATATTTTTAGTCCATAAATTTCAACACTATCTTGAAACAGTGTTCAGCTAAGGACATCCAGTGATAAGAACAAGTGTGACTTGACCCTGTTTTTCTAAGCAATATAGATACTGATACTATTAATCTCTCACACTGTATCTATGTTTTCAAACTGAAACTTTCAAGTGGCAAATAATTCAGTAACCGTCTTGGGGTACACAAATATTGTCCCTGGATAATTTTCAGAGTACAGAATTCACCGTAGAGGAGATGCAGTGGTAGGTTTCTTATGCATTTTGAAGAGCTGGAAATCCAGATTTTGAAACTGATATACTAAAGGACGTCCTTGACTATTACTGCTTCTGCGTTTCTGTCTCTACTAGCAGTCTTCTTTTTCTCATGTTAACGTGCAATTTGCTAATTTCTGTTCAAAGAAAATACATTTTTCCATGTTGACCCTGTAACAAAAGAAAGCCATATTTAAGAGAATCACAATAAATAATGCACTAATGCTATTTAGACTTATGGTGACCTTCACTAAGGTGCTGGAACCAAGATAGCTACATTCTGTGTAAAAGTGATCCATACCCAAATACTTGAATTTGTGATAAAATTGAAGCCATGTAAAGAAACAATCCTAATTTTATGTAGCTGGGGCTCGGAGGGAGCTCTGCAGCCCTCTGGGGGATAACGGCCCCGAGAACAAGCTGCAGGAGATGAAAAGATTCTTTTTTTATACAAGCTCCTCAGAATCACTTGAAAGATAGCGTTTTGTGTTCTTTTGCTGAGAAATGATGAATACTGAAAAAGAGAAGCTTTTCATCTAACGGGCAGGTACTCTTTTCCTTCACCAAATGAAAGAAAATATTAAGCCAGTTAAAAGAAACCCTTGGATACAAAGCAACCCTCATTCCTTCAGTCATATTATTCAGTAGTTGAATAACCAGTTTTTCAAGAACGCATAGGCCTAATTTCAGAACTGGATAGCAGGTGGATATGCAATTGACTGCCTAAAGGGAATTAAAGTCCGAGCCTATTTAAATGCCTGATGTGATTAAGAAGTTGGACTGTTGTGTCTTCTAGGACTTTTTAACAGCCCCGCCCCGCAGGATCTCAGTGCTCTTATCTAGCTAATAGGAGTTCTTGAGAGCTTTCAAATCATACCTTCTAGGGCTGTTACTCTGAAATTTCATATACTTGAATGAAATTTTTGCTTACATATTTTCAGTATGTTTACTCCACTTATTTCAGACTATCCCCATTGTTCTACCACTCACTACTTCTACTTCTACTGACTCATTATTCCAATTTAAATTCTACCTGCAAAGCCGGTTGATTTTTAGCTTTTACCCTCCTTAATTCTTTTCTTTTCGTAACGGTCAACTTTACACATACATAGTACTGCATGCCAGAAAATGCACTAAAATACTTTGCATATAGTAAAAACTGCTTTTAGTTAAACAGGCATTTGCAGGAGTTGTTTTCATGACTTCAAAATCCTATTAGGTATCATTCTAATTAAAAGTAATAATTTTTCACATACTGAATCAACAACCATTTTTCCCTAAAGTTGAGAATGAAGCTATACATCCAGCTTTGAGGTTAAATTCTTCAAAGTCATTTCCCTAAATTGCTTGAATACTACAGAAAGTGACATTTGATCAATGTCAAAATGTTATTCCACAAGCTTTTAAAAGGGGTATATGAGAAGACAGATAGCTGCCAAGGTGCCCAGGCAGAATATTCAGCCCTTCTGGCCTCTCCTTGTCTGAATCAAAAACCACTGAAATCAAGGAACAGCTTACTCAAATGGAAGGAAGCCTCCAAAATCCAAGTTCTGTGAAACAAAAGACCTACTGTACTATGAGTAAGTAGATAAAACAGATGAATAGTTTTTTCAGCTAGCCAGCAAAACTACAGAAAGAAAATTATGACTTTGCTCTGTTCTGACAGGACAGATGGAAACAAACTTTAATGGTTTCTACAGGATTATTTTTTCTAAGTAGCATTAGCCAAGCGAGGGCATAATCAAGCTGACAGTGTCAGTTACTATTAGCCTGTTCCTAAGGATGCCAGGCCTTCAAAATTTGCTAAAGCCATTATGATCAAAGCAATGCACTCACCAAGATCGAACTCTAAATTTGTTCAGATTTATACCATACACGTGCCTTCCCAAGTACTGATGAATAACTACAAAGTGGAAAGCCCACAAAGCGAAGTGGAATCTAAATTCTTATAGGACAACCTAGTTATTTTGAGTTCTCAAAAGTTAACTCCAGCATGTTAAGTTCTTCCCCCGCCCCCAAACTTATTTAAGCAAAGTCTTCTTATAACTGCTAGTCTTCTTATAACGGCTTTCTCTCTTCTGATATCTGTTATAAATTTAATTATTCAGAGGTCGCAGAGTGATGCTGAACAGATTCTGGTGACTGAGAAAGCCAGCAAAGTGCTTCGTGCTAGTATGGCAGGACTAGCCCCTATCAGAGCACAGCTCTGGAAAATAAGATTCAGGGAGGGGAAAAGTTTAGCTGGAGCTCTTCAGCTGTGTGTTTGTCTGCTCACACATAAGATAAAGCACTTCCATCTACAGGTCTGCATATTTCTGAAACAAAACATACACCGACTAAAGACAGAGATTTTAATTCCGGAGCCTACATGAGTTTCTAAGAAAGATGATGTAATTCAAATAGGAGGTAAAGGTATTATGCAGAATTAACTGAGAAGGCTGTACAGCCTGTTTTACAAGAGATTAGAACAGGTGATGATTTTAATAGTCTCTTCTGAGCTTAAAAACCAGGATAGCCTTACTTCGCTTTTTTCTCAAGTTGATCATGAAGACTGCTGTGTCTTTTGCCATATTTGGTAAGTCCCAAGCTAACATAGATATTACATAGATTTTCAAAACACTTGAAACATTTGCTAATTGAAGAAAGAAAAATTTGGAAAAATTAGTCTCACGCTAAGTTTAGTGAAACTCAACTGTGTATTATCACGATTTTTCATGCAAACGGGTTGTTCTGTTCTTACTGCACTTGTTATTTTGCTAACAGTTACTGCGTCCGTCAGGCTGGCAAAGCTGCTGTAAAGTTGTTTGGCAGGAACTCGGTCTTTGTCCAGTCCTTGCAGCTTAAGGGACTAGGATTGCTCCTCTCTTTACTACTTCTCTGCTACAGAACCACACAGTCTCTTCTAGCACATAAAAACTATTAGACTGATGAATTATCTGTTCCTTCTGCTCCCAGATACAACCATCTCATTTATTTGTATGACTAAATCTTTGCTGCCATCTCACAATTGTAAGTATCTTACGTGGCCAGAAGTGGCAAAGCAGCAACACATAAATCAGAAGTTTTAATTTTCCATTCCACATACCACAGTCCTTTAAAAGATTCATAACGGACTGAAGAAGCTGTGAAGGAATACAGACCTTACAACTCTGTGTATGAGAGAGCAAACGTCGGCATTTACCAGACCACTTAAACTTGTAAAAACCTTTTAAAACAATTATTTGCTTAGAGCTTTCAGTATGTCGTTTTTATTGCGCCGAATGCTGCTGCCCTGAATCTCTCTCTGAGGAAGGATTTTTCTCTCCGCTGACCATACAGGGAACATAGCACAGTTAGGTTCCTAAATGGGGTACCTAAAGTTATGCAACAGGAATACCCTTGTGCATTGAATAGCATGTACTCACACCCACTAGCAAGTCAGCCTTTTTGCCATGTGAAGCAAACGGCAAGCTCTTAGCCGTGCAGGAAGCACACGACAAGGCATCGGAAAGCCTTTAGGCTGGGAGAGGGGAGAGCTCAGACCAGCCAGCGGTTTGAAGAAAGTGAAGATACAGGAAAGGGGACTGTAGGGCTTCAGGGCTGAGGACAGTGACGTTTTTCAAGGAGCTGCAGGAGACTCCAGACATCTGGTTTGAGGGGCTATGTTTTAAGCAGGCAACCCAGGAGCATTTGTAAGCCCCAGCTTCACTCTAGACAGTAGGTACATTGCAACTTCCAACTCCACCACCCTCCCCCAGGGCACTGCTGTGGCAAGAAACTGGAGACAGATGCGTAAAAGGGAGACGTCGCATGCTCCAACCAACTCTGGAATGAGGACGTAAGAGCACAGGGCACAGCAATCAGGCTGGGTACAACCCCCTACCTCCAGCCTCGCCTCCTCCGCAGCCCTCTCTGGAGGAGGAGGTGGAGGGGAAGCCTTGCTCCTCGCAGGACCCAGTGAGGACCATCCTTCACAGCAAGGATCACGTACCAGCAGCAGGATGGGCAGCAAACGCTGGCTCGGGGAAGGAGGGCCTCTTGCAGCCCCCCGGCACATCCCCCCTGCTCTCCAGGCAGGAACTCAAACTAGAGCCGCCACTCTCCAGCCCTCATCTCTAGAGGCAGCACCCATTCCCCAGCAGCCTGCTTTAGCCTCTGCCCTCTCCCTCGCACAACCTTCTCCTTTCCACACTGTGGGCCACATTGACACCTCCTCTCCAACATTTAGTGGGAAGGGTGTCCTGTCAGGACCCTAATACAGCACTATTTAGGCATGAACAAATCCAGCAGTGACATGAACTTGCCTAAGATTTATTTTATTTTATTTTTTTAAATCAGTTGCCCCTCTCCCTTCTCTGGTATTGCAGGAGAGGAGGGAAAGCTGTGTGAAATAACTGCCTTTGCACTGTGCTTCAAAAATGCGGTATTTAGGGCTCAGTCTTATCAATCTTGGCAAGTTATACTTAAACTGTTGAGATTTGTCTCTACTATAGGGAGCTTTTAGCTCACTTGCAGCCAGTGAGTGCAGATATATTTTGGGGTAGCAGATAATCCCTATGTTATCCTGACCAAAGATAAGTACTATTAAGATAAAATAAGCATAAAAAGGGAGAACACTCTGGCCTAAAATTAGGTATAGTGCTGATAGAGCCATTGCAAAGCACCACCCGTTACAAATTCACTGACTTCAGAATTTGACAGACCATTTTGACCATGTTAGCTGACTTCCTTATAGCACAACTGCTATTTCGCTAGGTGATTCTTGCACAGTAATTGCAGATGAAAAGACTGCTATCTTTCAGTATATACGCTGCACGTTAAAAAAACTCCTAGCGTTTTAGCATTCAGTGATTTGTTCATCAGGTAATTACCCTCACTGTTAAAAAATAAACATATACATTTCATTTGCAGTTTGAGCTACGGACTCCTGCAAGATTGGCAGGAGGACGCAGGAACTTCCCTGACACAGGAGGACACCCAAATCCCTGAGTGCAGAGCTGGAAAACAACACTTGCCTTAGCATCGCTTGTTTGTACAGTGCAGAGCAATCTTAATATACTGCTGTGTAAAGCAGAGCCCCTCTGCAGCTGAGCAGGATGGCAGGTGTTCGATAGCTCACAAAAACATGATGCAGCAATTTAAGTCAGGAACTATGGAACAGCATGTCAAATTCAGGAAGGATGACTGTACCCGTACAGAAATATTGCTGGTGTTAACGTCCCTGCTCTTGTGAAAATCACCATGCGCTCTTTGGTGACTGCATTTGGTCAGGACTCGGCTTTGGATTTTCTTATCAACTCTTTTCTCCCCACAGAAGATTTTGAAAATTGCTGATATTTCACTTTCTGCATTTCCACTTTCCAACAGTTCGGCCATTCTGAGGCCTTTAGTTTTCAGTGCTTACGATAAACTGATTGTGACAGAAGAGCTTTAAGAGCCTAAAATATTTATTTACACAATAACTTCTTGTTGTTATTTTTTTTTTCATTTCCTACATGTATTTTTACTATGCTTTTTAATTCACTGCCATGCAATGATACAGTCCTTAGTTGTCAAGAGTTGTTTCAATACTGAATAAATGCTTAATTCAAGGGATAAGAATCAGTTTAAGCCTATTACTTTTAGTCAAAGAAAAGTCTACATCTGAACTGTGGACTTTTCAGCCAGCTCTCATTACCACACCTTTCAGGCAAGCATTTCTAAATAGTTTAAGGGAGCAGCATAAACCACCACCAACAAACCAGGGATAACGTTTGCAGGATAAGTTAGGTGTCCTGTCAGTAGCATTACACCTTCAAGCTTTGAAGACAGACCACCTCTTTCTCCCCCTCCCTCCCACCTTTGTAACTTCAACCGTGTGGAGCCACAGCTCTCTCCTTTTGCAAATTACCTGGACTATGCTTTAATATGTACTTACGTTGACGCCCCTAGCACATAAAAACAGTCCTCACACCTTGCCCACCTTTCTCTCTGCATGGTCTCCTGTGCACGTCTGCATGTCTCTTAATTCACCGTATGCAGCCATATAGTAAAATAAGGAGAGATTATGTCTCAGCTGGTTTGGTTTCTCAATAGGGTGGGGAGAGTTTTGCAGCCGTGCCAGTTCCCTGCCCCACCTCCCCTCGGCCCTCAACACTGGTGCAGGCAGGGAGGGGAGCTGCGGCTGGGCACAGGGACAGGCACCAACAGCACCAGCTTCAGGGCACAAACCACAGTGGTAGGTCGCTGGCAGACTTCCACTTTGCGCAACCTGCTGCATGCTCGTATACTCTAAACAGGCATTTGGCAAGCCTCACGTCACCTCATCCAACAGCATCTCCCTTAACATCATCATTAGTTCTGTGCTAAGCACATCTCATTCCAAGTAGAAAACAATAAAGGCAGGCAAAATTCTCGAGGCAATGGTGCAGAGCAGTCTCAAGAGCTACATTTTCAGTGTTTGGATAGACCCCACCAAAAACACTCCAGTGCTTTCAAGAGGATTACCACCATGCAGTAAAAATCAGAAGAATGGGATTAGAAGTAGTCGAAAAAGAATATAAATCTGAACGTGATCTGAACCAAGCCAGTAGCATGTTAGGTATGTGAAGTAATTCATCTCAAAACTCCCAGGAGTTTGTCATCATTGCAAAACAATAAAATTACAGGACTTAATTCTTCACATAATTCCATTATTCTTCCATGGTGTTGCAGTAGGCATGAATACGGCCAGTTTTAAGAGATCTACAAAATATGAACAGTTCCAAACTGTAGGCAAAGAACCTAAAAAAACGTTATCATGACTCACATGGAAACTAAAATACACAGCTTCTGTAACTGGGCATACCTCAAAGAGAAAAAGTTCGGAAACATGGAATTCGAATTGCATTTCTCTGAATTAACCACAAATTTGTGATTAATTCAGAGAAATGCAATTCAAATTCCATGTTTCCTCCAAAGGTAAGCAAAGGTAAAGGGAAGCAGATATCACAGTTGCCTGTGGAAGAGGGGTAAGGGGCTGTCTCTTTTCACAGTTTGCCTATGGATATATCAAAACCTTTGTTTCTGATCAGCTAGAAAGAGAGATTCAAACTGTTTATCTGACTTATACATGCAATGGTGCATGTATTTGTTAGTCTGTTTACCCTAACTGATGCTAAGCAGTTTCACAAATGCGTACTTGACAATGTAGTGCCTGCCCTATAAATCTGCAGTGCTTGTTGCAATATCAAGGATAAGGAAGGAAACATAGAAAGTAGAGTTGCTATCACTGGAAACCAAAATCTTTTTGGCGGATGGATGATAGGATTTCTTCAATAAGGACCTTGATAATTAAAATGTCAACTAAGTCAGATTGTTCTTTCCATATTAATGGCATCTCTTGTTAATTATCCCTTATTTATATGACACTTGAATCCTTCACACAATCAATTGTGGTTAAGACCAAGTTCACACTCCACTGAAACAACAAATCATCTTAATTGACATTTCTGTTGCAAAAGAGGCTGATATTTTCTTTTTCACAAGCCAGAAAGAAAAAAACTCCCCACAAAGCATGTGAAGTCTCATCAGCTGTGCTTAGCTACACTCTAATGGCATAGCATATAAAAGCAGTAAACCTTCAAGTTGAAAACAGATTGTTCATCCATTCTAAAGGATATTCATGTTGATCAACACAAACACTGGTCATTAATTACACTGTGCTCCTCTAGCCCTCCCTTACAGGGCACACGGCTGTGCTTATATGAAGGCACACCAGCTGAATACATGCTTATGAAATAAAATCCAATCTGTTGTCCAGATTAAGCAGACATCCATCAGAGAGGTACTCATTAAATAATACTGACAACACTAAGCAACTACGAGGTTTCTGAGCCCGAGCGCCACTTTTCCAAAGCTGATAGTCCAACAGCAAGCATTCCTTTTGCAGACTGCTTTTTTCACATTGTGCATACACAGTACATACCTCATTTGCTCACATAAATACTCTCTGGTTATCTTTCTGACAGCAAGAAAGAATTTTATGCTTATACAGCATTTTTCTATCACAGAGTTAGTTCTTAAGTTATGCCTTTGGAAATGAAACACGGTCAGCTATGCTTTATGTCTATTATCTAACATCCACCGCTCATGAATTCTAGAATTAAAAAAAATACGTAGCAGGTTTCCAATTTTGAGATCAGTAATAATTTCTCTGGCCAACAAAACGTGTAGCTACAGTTCAGTGGATCTGGCTTCTGCAGAATAACTGGGTGTCTGTGCTAAGCAATGTTTTGTTTTTACTGTGAAAGGTCAGTCTAATTATTCTTTACCTACATAAGATATTTTAAAACCAGGCAAATCACATTCTAAAATGGATCAGGTCTATATTACAAGTTAGAGTTCTGCAAATATTCAAGTTCTGATTAAAGGATCACCAAATTACACAGAATTTATTATTCATGAGTATTCAGTTAACAATCCATCAGTTTAAAAAGGCCCTTTTTTGGCTCAAATTGGAACACAAATTGCAGGCTGGTAAGATGCACCCCCCCCCCCCCCCAATTCCTTTAATTAGCTGCAGTTCCTCCGCACACTGGCCTGCACCGTTCGCTTCTGCAGGCCAAACTCATGTGACTGTTGCAGCTACTTTCTGGCAGCAGCCAGTCGGGAGGAATTATAACCTTTGCCACAACAGGCATAGCCAGAGAGATGAATCCAGTTTTCCCTATGGAGGGCTCCCAAACATATAATTTATGCAAATTATTAGAAGAAAGGGATCTGCTTTTTGTGCTGACAATTCGGTGGTAGCTTCACAGTAAACCAAAAGAGGGGTCATAATGGAATTGGACTTCACTGGTCTCTAGCTGTCAAGTCTACTGTGTACCCCAAGGGCAAACTTGGCTCTCGTTCCCATGTTTGGGAATGCAGCCACTCTGAATACGAACAGACCAGAAAGTCTGCATCCTGCAGTCAACATCCAGCCGGCTTCCCCTTCCAGCAGTATCATGTGGTAAGCACTGACCAACGAATGCAGTCATCAGGAGACTCCTTTCTAGGACAACCCCTGCACCGCATGGCGCAGTGAGAGAGCTGTGC